ACGTAACTCCCCCCTTTTTAAACGCCGACACCACCATGAATATTTCTAAAATCTTATACTACTTTACCAACATGTCCTTTTAAATGTCGTCAAATAAAAATTATTTCTTCAAGAGGCATTATTTGCATTAATCCTTCCAGGTAATTCTAGAAATTTTCTTTAGAACCTATATCTAAACATACTTGAGGAGCATAAACTCTTATAACATCAAAAATATTAGTATCAACAACAATCTTAAGGGCTATAATTTTATATCTAATTCTTTAGTTTTTTTAACATTATCTTTCAAACTCTTATATATAATTACACCAACACCAACACCAATACCAACACCATTATTTGCATTTGTGAGCTTTGACGATGTTGATGACAACAAGATAATGAAATAATACACAAATAATTTTTTTTTAATTTTCTTTTTTGATTTTGTCATGACGAGCGAGAAACTAATAGGAAAGGGCAAGGCTCGAGATGTGAAAGTGAAGCTTTCAATTTTGTTGTTCGAATAGGAAGAATAGGCCAGTCCCGCGCGAACAGTTACGAGTATCGAGTGGGAGCAAGTGTACAAATGACTTAATATTAATTAAGTTTAATTAACATAATTTATAATATTTATAACTTTTAATGTTTTTTAACATCAACAATGCTTTGAAGGGAAGAGTTACGCCATTGAAATTTCATGTATTGCTTATAGGGTTGGTTCCTATGTTTCAATATGCCCATTGATTTTAGGCTCTCATTCTTTTTAAGGAGGATATTATTTAAACATATTTTAATTTCATTTTCAAAGAAGATATGGGAATATTGATTTCAGCCTTGGAATGCTGGGCTATTTAGAAAGATTAATTGCTAGATGGGTTAATTTTGTAATTCAAAATTTTGAACTAGGGTTGCTTGCAATGATTTGTATTTTTTGACATATAATCAAATGTTATGCAGTAGCATGGGATCAACTATCCAATCATTGGTCTCGATGTTAGGTGCATGAGATAGGAAATTTTGATTATTATAGTTGTCCCACGAAACTCGTAGCCTATCTTCTCAAGCTGCCTCATGGGACGAAAGTTTTATTTTTTTATAGTAAATTGTAATAAGGCTTCATGGGAAAATTTGGGTTTTGTTGCTTTCTATTCATTACTTGATAATGAATTGAGATAGATTGTGATGATAAAGAATTGAATTATCTTTCTAAACATCCATCAAATAGGTGGGTCCCAAGAGATTGAGGTTATTGTATTATGCCTAATGTTAGTGTCAGAATAATAAGCTGAGAAAATAGTTTATTTATGCTTAGTGGACTACATTTATTATGTTGTATCTATGTACATTATATTTGCTGCTGTGTTGTGAATAAGAATTATATAAAGAACAAAACACTAAGGTATTATTCTTATTCAAGATGATTTTTAAGATAGTTTAATCCTATTCTCAGTTTAATCCTATTCTTAACCATCAGCGCAACCACCACAACCTTCTTTCGATCACATTTAGAGCTCTCTGCCTTATATTGCCAGCGACTTCCTTGATTTTGATCATGTACCTTTCGTGCACTCTCATCACATCCTCATGCAATTTACATTGCGTTTTAACTCTCTCTCCCACTCTACAGCATGTGTAGCCTCACATTGCATTCACTCACATGCTTGGTCTTTTGCATGCTTATGGCCAATCCCTTGCTCATGATCTCTCCCAGTGCATTGTTTTACTTCTGAGTTTGCTTAATTTATGATTTTTTGAAATTTTTTCAATCATTCTCCTCTGCTTTTGTTTTTGTTTTTCAATGGCTTCATCTTTTATTCCACAAACAAAACCCTCTTTCAGTATTTGTACATTTATCAAACTTAATTATATCATCTCATGTGGTCTTTAGACTTTCTATTTCTTCATGGGATCACATAAGAAATTTAATCATTTTGACTCTCCCTCCTGATTGAGTAAGAAATACCATATAAATTAAATGACACACTTCCAACCATTTTATTTTGGCGTAGATGCTTGGTAGTCTCAAACCTTATAGTCTCCAAAATTTTAATTTAAGCGTTGGCCAAGGACATATATAAATACTTCACATATTTTTAGAATAACTAAATCTCTAGGGTATACATTCATTACTCTGACTTATTATTTCTCCAATAGAACGTTTTATTACGTATGACAGCCTGAGCTCTCAGCCATTAAGGTATTGTCCATTTTGGCCAAATGGCCTCATGGATTTGCCCCGTTGTTGTAATTTTGAGGTCACCTATCCGAAGAAGTTTTCCATGCGAGCACGCTTAACTTTAGAGTTTCAATCAAAATTCTACTGTTACACCTAAAGACTCCTTGATGTTTAAGAGTTCAACTTCAATCTACTTAGGAGCTTCGTAATCTCTCCCATTTAAGTAATCAACTTCTAGTCACTTTTTAATACCCAAAATCGTCCATCAGGCAAATAGGACTTTAGAGGCGGCCTCTATAGATTCAAGTGGTGTCTCCCATGATGTAGCATTTTCTTTTGCGTGAAACCTTTGTCATGACCTAGTTTGATTGCTTAGAATTAATCATGTCAGGAACTTTGGTCAAACGGTATTAACATTTGAATAACTATCCTAAAATTTCTAGAAACTTCTTATATATAAAAGAGTCACTAAAAAACTACAAAGTATGCCATACCTAATACATCTAAAAATAACTGTAAAATCGGTAAATATCTCAAACGAACATACTACTATATATCACTATCTTGAAAAAAATAGTGCAAAAAGAAACTACAATCACATCATAATATGATATCTATCAGTTTTTGTCATTCTCTAACTGCCAGATTTTTTAATCTACAATTTTGCTTTTTCTGGAAAAAAAAACATTAAATTCAACTGTAAATTTTCACGATTTAGTGAGCAATTATTATCTTATTATGCATTAAATTTATATACAAATGCTATGCATGAATGATAAAAAAATATATATTTCATTATTTTATAAAACTATAAGCTTTCATTTTAAATTTATCAATTCTCATTTCTGTTTAAGTATTTACTCTTTTTAATATTTTTAAGATTCATATCAGTATTAGCGTCATATCAGAAAATATTCTCAAAATTATATTCGTAGATACTCTCAAAATCTGCTCCCAAATGTACACCTTTATCATTTTTTTTATTGTGTACGGTTATATCACATCCTTTGTCAGTACCATCTAGGGGTAATCTTGTATGAATTAAACTTTTACATTTCATTTTATTTAAATTACATTCTTTTAAAGATATTGGACTATTAGTTTCTCTTCTTATCAATTTATTCATTTCAATTATTCTTTTGCTTTACGACATGTTTACAATTATAAAAATTTGAAGTAATAATGAATGTCTTTATTAAATAAAATATCAATTTAATACATAAAAGAAACTAAGCTGGGAAGGAGTCTTTTGAGCAACCTGCTTGTGGGAGAAGTGAGCCAGCCGCATGCTGGAGTGTCGAACAGAGCCCTTGCATGCGAAATTTTGGTATGAGGAAGGCTGAACCGAGAGTATATAAGGAGGTAAGGGTTTTTTATGGTTTTATGTCTTAATTATATAAATTATTTCAATAAAAAATGTTATTAAGTTAATATTAAAATTTATGACTTAATTATAGTGATTAAATTTGTCAAGCAATTAAATTAAAAAATTGGATAGATCAAGATCATCCTTTTGTGCAATAGAGGAGGAAGTTAAGTGAGATAAGGTTAGAGTTTAATTATTATTTTAGAATTTAGCATATTTATTTGAATCAAAATGATTGCCTTTTTTGAATTAATGACAAAAATCAGACGGTATAGAAAGATTGATTTTTAGTTTGAAATGAGGAGAGTAGATGATAGTGCAGGAAAACTATTTAAGATAAATAAAATTAAAGTTTTAAATCTATTAATTTAAATATGATGTTTATTATAATATTAATGTTAGATCATAGTAGTTATTAGCAGGAATCAAGATTTAAGATTAATTTATTGTAAGATACGTAAATTGGAATAGTTGATTTCAAGCAAGTTTGAGTAATCATGTTTCTACATTACAACAATGTTTCTTACTTTTGATTGCATTATTTTAATTTTTCACTAATTTTTCACATTGATGCTTTATCTCATTGAGACAAACTACTAGTGATGTGTTCATGTTGTTAGGTAATAAGTGTGCATGTTAACAATCTTGTATAAACTGTTACATATTGATTTGTCTTTGAAGCTATTAGATTATCACGCACCATTTTGATTCTAGTAAATTTATATTTATTCATTAATAGATAAATGTGAAGTGTCACGTAAGAAAATAATGTATGATATGAATTATGAAAATATTATATACATGAATGTTTGTATGAGCATGCTAAGAAAAAAGAGTTCAACCTCTTGTGGTATTGGTTGGGGACTCCAATATACCCACATACGTAGATGTTTTTCTTACCATCTTAGAAATTGTGAAATTTAGATCCCTAATTGTTGTTCTTACCATCTTAGAAATTGTGAAATTTAGATCCCTAATTGTTGTGCTGATGTGGTAGTATCAACCAGGGGTGAGTAGGCACCCTACCACCTTAGACAATTTTAAAATTTAAATCATTAATCATCGTATCAACGGGAAAGTACAAGTCAGATGTGAGTAGACATATTTCCACTCAAACAATAATAGACATTCTAATCGCCGTGCCAGTGGAATTATATCGACAAGGGTTGTATCATGTTAGATTTTGACTTACCTTCTGAGACGGACATGAAAGCTCAGAGTATGAAATGTACTAAAGTTAAAAGATTAAACATTGAAAAATAAAGTTAAAGTTAATGCATATTTAATTCTAAATAAATTCCATGAAGTAAAATGTCATGCATACATATATTAAATTATTGTACTATTTTTTATAATGAAATATAAAAGACCAGCGTACATATTATTTTATTTTGCTTGAGTTACTGTAGTTTAGAAATGTGATTTCTCCACTGTGTTAGCTTGGATAACCCATTATGTTTAAAAAATTTTTAGGTTAAGCTTTTAAATAAAAGGTGAGTACTCTAAGAGATACTGTGTACAAAATGTGAGATTTGCAAACTAAAAGGTAAATTTTTATTTGTTAAATTAAATTATTTTCTTTATAGGCTCTTTCAAATTTTGGATTGTAAACTGTTAGTGTGATAGAAAACTTTAATTTCATAGTCCGACTGTCAGTTTCAGTTTTGAAAATTTCAAAGCCGGAGCCAGGTCGTGATAGTTAAATGAAGTGCTAGGCAAAAAATATAAATCCATGTCGTAGTATATATGTGAAATGATGTGGGTTAAAAATCCTTTTGTGAAATTTGATTTTCCAATTCAAAATATATATTCTCAATCTTTGAAAGTCCCAAAAGGCAAACACATTATGGCTGATTATCTTTAATATGTGCCATCAAAGAAGCTTGTTACTCATGTTTTCAGCTAGGAACACTTGTATATATTTGCCAAGAGTTCGAGTCAATTTTTAATTTTTCAAACTATGTATTGATTGGAGGCTCATTGATATATATGTTCTATTCTGAGGTGGAATGTTAACTTTAGGTCACTATCTTAACAACACCTTTTTTATTGTTAGTGCTCTATTTGTTTTGTTAAAACTTTGAACATTTTAGCAATACGAGCGTTCTCATGCTAATAAGACATCAAATATTTTTCTCCATTCATAGCTTGGTTTAAACTCATGAATTTCATTAAAATTTAGCCACTCCAAGTGAGCATGGGAAGGCGAGAAGGGGAATATTAAATAAGCAGCATTGGTAGCTTTGAGTGATGGAGGTGGGGGAGAAATTTAGTCATTATTAGTTTCCAATTCTTAACTTGTTTCAATTTCTCATTATGGCAGTATTCTCAGCATTACTTAGGGTCTGTTTGGGGCCAGTTGTAGCTTATTGAATAATTTTGTTGATAAGCTAGATGCGGTGGGTTTTACAAATTTTTTTTTTTTTGGAAAGTCAAACCGCAGCTAGAAAGCTGCCACGGTGTGAAAACGCTGTTTTTAACATTTTGAAAATGCATAAGCTATCAAAATATAATTTACGCAAACAGACCAGGTGCGTTTTCAAAACGCCACCACACCAAATAAGCTGCCCCCAACGGGCCCTTAATCTTTTACTGTTTTGTTCATGCTACTGATAAATTTTACTTTCTTGATGGCTTTCATAGGAAATTGATCAGTTTAGAGAGACAGTGAAGAAGGAAATACGAAAAGCAATGGTAATATGTTTTCTTAAGTTATTGCAAATCAAACCTTTTTCTTATCTACTTTTTTGTAATATTTATTTTTGTATGTAAATTAAAATGCTTTCTGGAAATGTTGTTAATTGTGTATGTTTGCATTTGATTTCCGTTTTGCATTCGCCTCTTGGAGTTCTTGAACTAAATTTATACTCTTTCTTTTATTGTAGGACTTCTACTTGAGCTGTGTAAACGTTATATTAGCATAGCCATCCTGATGGCGTATTATTGATGATGCATTTTATGTGACAACTTATAAAATTCTGTGTAAGTTGATATGCTGGCACTCAGGTGTACTATTGACACTTTAATCTTTATAATTTAGAGCAAAGAATAAAATTTGAATATCAAGTTTTTCCCCCAACTACTTGAAATTGGTTCAGGTCCTTTGGGATGGAGCCACTTGGTGGTGGCCACCTTATGGTGGAAATAGTGGCACTTATACTGGTTATGAGGTGGGAATGGAGTGGTGAGCTCCTTGGGGAGAGCATGTAGCTAAGGTTGGACAAGAAAGCTTAATAGGAGACGGCCTACACGTCGCTCTTGTAGGGAATTATTTTTGGGGGGGCATGGGGCAGTGGAAGAGCTTAGCCAAAGTATGTTTGAGATGTAATGGATAGATGGTGACGACATGTGCCATAGAGTGACTGGAATAATTGGGCTTGGAGTGACTTTGGATGGGTGAAGCCCTAGAACTCCGAAGTATGAATTGGCTTTTGCAAGGCTTTGGGGAGGGCTTCTAGGGATGGAGAGGGATATGTGGGGAAGGCAGTGGTGTTGGGATGGTTGATAGAATTGCTTTAGGAGGTGTTAGAGATTGGAATACAGTAAATTAACAAAAGTTACAATAAAAGTTGAACCTCACCAAAGAAACAAGCCAGTCGTGCGCCATTTAGCTTCCATCGTGGAAGAACCTAGCCACTAAGTACGATTCCAGAGAAGAATACTTATTCAATAATTGTGCTTCAACAAAGATTACTCTTACAATAAATTTACCTCTATGTAATCATTATGAACTCTTTCAAAAATCAAAATAAATTCCCATAATGTAAAGAAAGTTTCATTTTAAAATGTAAAGCAAGGCTTCTTGAAATACGGAAGTGGTGGTGCTGTTGTTTGACCATATATCTTGGCATGAGAATTGTTGCTCTTGTTCATGTTGGCAAGTGGAGAACTATGGCATGGCCGCCCAATTTGCACGATCCATGTTCATGAAGCTTCATGATATTCTAATCCGTTACCCATACATTGAATAAGTTTACATGAAGTTTTAGCTAAAATAACTGCCAAAATGTTGAGTATAACAACCATATCTTAAATTAACATTACAACCAAAGTTTATCATGACATTAACTACTGCAAATATTAAAATAATGAATATGTAATGAAATCATGAGCTAAGTGCTTTATCGCCACATAAAATATTTTTCAAGAAAAGATTACAAAAAAAGGGGGAGTTTACATGCACATCACCCAATTCTTATGCATTTACATTTCTCACCCCAAAACTTTGTTTTTTATAAACCCAACGCCCAATTCACACTTTTCAACAATGTGGAACTGTGAAATTCACATTTTCATGCATAGATAATATGCTGCATTTGTAAAAATTAAAGTTTTGGCGTGAGATGCAGAAATGCGTAAGAATTGAGTGCCACATATGTAAATTTCCAAAAAAAAAAAAGTGCTAAAGATGCACTGCTTGACTTCACCTTATTCACGCAACATTATGTGTCCTTATTTTGTGGCCATGGTTGAGACCATGGGAAACTATTTTTCAAATAATGACATCCCTTAACTGAATTGCAATAGAATGCCTCCATTGAATTTAGGTTCCTACTAAATGTACTTTAGCTTGATCATAGAGAGGTTTTTAATTGACAACCTTGCTATTAAGAACCTTAATTATTGGTGAAAATAGGAAGTCTTATTTTCTTAACCATCTTCCTGGAATACAGTGCAGGTCAAATTTACAATCTTCTTTGTTAATGCAACTTGCCAACCTTTATGTGTGGGGGGGAGTGGAGCAATGATTAAAGTAAGGAGAAAAAGAATAGCACATTAAAATCACCATAAAGTCAAGGATAAATTTCTATATAAGTGGAGCAATGATAAGAATATTTTCACCTGTTTAAAGATGTGTATAAAATAAACTTTTTTTCTCCTGTTAATTGCAATAACCATAAATGCTAAAAGTGTATTTATAAAATGACATGTATAGAAAAAATAAAGAATTTCAAGGAGACATCCAAGGAATGGTGAGGAATTTAATCTCTATATCTATGATTGTTAATGAGTCTATCTTGGATTGATCCGACTTTGGCTCAAAATCAGGCCAGCCATTCGATCTGTTCTCTTGCCAAGTCAAGCTTGGTTATAAAATGATTTGATCTTGCATTGCTTACTGCCTTCAACTCTAGCTTAATTTGAGCAAAAAATTTTATCCTATTTTGATTTATTTTTTATTGTCTAAGATAAACTCTTTGTTCTACATGCATATATAGAATTGTATAAATAAATTTATACATATAAATGCGTAGATGCATAGATACATTAATTAAATACAAGTGCATTAACACATTTATGTAGACATATATTCTTCCATACATTTGTACACATATCAATCCAATCTCTGGTTAGTTTGGTTTGATTTTGGATCCGCTAAATTTAAGTTCAATTCAAACCAGCATTGGCCTATTTATCCGCTCCTTAACTTTGATTCAGCCAAATGCCAATTTGATTTTTGAGCAATGTCAGTTCTTTGAGCTAAATTCATTGACCTATCCACCTCTTAAATAAATTGAATAGTATCTAAGATATCTTTTTATAACCATTGGAGGATTTCCTTGAAACATGTTTTGAAAAGATAATTCAATTTTTGTGCACTAGTTTAGAGGCTAGCATTAAGAACTGGGCCTGGCATGTGAGGGAACTAAAAGAATTTATGTGCCAGTTAGGAAGCGCTAAACATGATATAGTTCTATTGGCATAGTCAATATAATGTTTTGTTAAAAATTAAAGGTGTTATCTTTTCTATATTATTTCATTCTTTCGAGCTACGTACTATGTATTGTTCAAACCGTGTGATTAATTTTGTAGTATTTCGGTCATTCTTGAAGGTTAATTAGGTCATTTTCTCTTTGGTTGAAGTATATAGTTACATTGTTTTTATGGTTGTTAACTGTGTTCAGGTGATGTTTTCTAGCTATCTTTTATTGGGGGTTTTATATATAGTTCATGCAAGTTTCTTCTGTTTTGAAATAATTGTCCCCTTCTATATGATTATTTACTAATCTCCGTGAAAAGTAATAATAGCCTTTTTTATGCCTACTCTGTTTCGATAAAGTTGAGCTGAGAAAGTTGATGAGATGCTCGGTATATATTGCAGAAAGAACCATACCTACCACCGGGACAAGGTCCACTCATATTGGAAGACTTGCAGGTTAAGAAGGAAGCTTCGTCAAACCATATGAGAATTATTACTGATGGGTTTGATGTTTTGGAGATTGATGCTAGCAGTTTAGAATTTCAAAGCAAATTTGCCTCTGGGTCTTGTGTTGATTTGTAAGTTTTATTAATCAATCAAAGCAAAGTTTCTTCCCAGATGCTTCTAATAATTTATATTACTATTATTATTAATTTTTAGATTTTTGAATGCCCTTTTTTGCTTCAGATACCGTGGTAAATACTGTAGTCAGGATGTAGCTATAAAAGTCTTCAAGTCAGAGTATGTCAGCGTGGATATGCAGCGTGATTTTGCACAGGAAGTCTACATTATGAGGTTAGTTAAAAATGCCTGTTCTTGTTAACTATGTTGATTGGCATATGATATTTTGATTTCCATTATTCACTTACGGATATGGATGACTTTGCGGCCATTAATCTCTATATTTTAGACAAAATTAGTCCAAAAATACAGAAGCCAATTGCTAGTGTATGTTAGTCTCTTCTTGGAGCAGCTGCAGCTTATTAAGAAGCCGTTGTAAAGCTGCTGAAAAATAATCTGATATTGCAAAAAACTTTGGTGACTATTATTATTTTATTATTATTATTTTTTTTTTTTGTGAAAAAGACAAACTGCAATTAGGAAGCTCCCACCACACTTAGCTAGGAGTGATGGGAAAACGTTGGTTTTAGCGGCAGTTTTTTAAAAATGTTGTAAAAATGCAGTTTTCCCAAATGGCCAAAACAGCGGTGCGGTGCTGCGCCGCCGCCGCGCTGTTGCGCCAAATGGAGCCCTTTATAGTAAACTAATGCTCTCCTCAACTAGTCATTATGGATAACTTTTATTCTTGACTATCTTAAATTGGGAGTTTTGATTTACATTTGTATTCGAGTGTTTCAAACATTTTTTGTGAAGATGTTTAATGCATATTTTTATTGGTTTGTGTTCCTAAATTAAAATGGCATTGAGTGATTTCCTTAACACACTTTAACAAAATGGTATAGGCAAATAAAAAATAGAAATTCTTTAGAGGTAGTTATATCTATTATGTTGACCATTAATTACAACAACAACAAGTCTTATCCCACTAAGTTTGGTCGGCTGCATTGTCGGTCAACTTTTTCGATTGATTGATTTAGATTTTGAATATATGAAAATATGAAAATAATTTTTGAAATTTAATTTAAGTATAAGAGATGTATATAGTTTGAGTTAGTATGTTTTAATTTTTGTAATTTTTGAAAAATGAGACCAAGTGAATCTCATTCGTCCAATAGTTTGCATAATCGTGTCTGATACCGCGAATACTACACCGTCCCGAAAGATAAATGTAGACCTCGACGATAAACCCAATCCTGCAAACTAAGAGATTTGTGACATCCGTTTAGTCTGCGAACCTTTTATATATGACCGACAAGTTCCCCTATCTAATACAAAGATTAAATAGGGTTTATTTTACCTGGGTTCCAAGTTTCTTATAGAGGCAAGCCCCTATAGTTAATTACATTTCAAATGATGGAAGTCACTTGAAAAAACTCTCGATAATGATCAGTGATTTTATTCTTCAAGAATTCAAGGTTTAAGTTTTCACGGTAGGACGTGAAAAAACAAGTGGGAGTGGCTCAAGTATGAACAATTCTTTCAGGAGTCCAATGGAATTAAATGGTAGGGGGCGTCACAAATCTTGAGGAGGAACCTCAGTGACTTTCCAAACTATTCTACGGTGTGACTGTGTTTTAGAGACGATGTTATTTAAGTGTTTAATCCTGCCAATTTTATTGTTTGAGACTTACATTTGCATAATACTCGATTATGCAAATAGCCCGCAGAGATAAGAGGGTTTACGTCGTGTCACACGACAACCTCGGAACCTAAGACGGGTTAGGATTTATGTTGCACAACATGATTGTACATGAGCCTAAAA